TATGCCGATTCACAAAAATTGACTTGCATGACATATTTGTTGACTAGTATGAAGAAAAAATCACAGATATCGTGGAGCTACTTGAACCATCATACGCTGCCACTAAAAAGCTACAAGTGGAACAGCTGGTACTCGGAGATTTTTTCGTAATATGGTCACAATGTAAATCTAAAAAAAAAAAATAAAAAATTTTTCACTTGCTTCGCATTTGTGTTCCCAAATTACAAGAAGGGAGGATATTTTATTAAACAATGACCCGTTTTTTATTACTATGTTCATGGATCCGCGTTAAAACATTACTTTATTTGCTGAAAAAGCTATTACGTTATTAATAAATCTTTTCTGCAGAATGACTGCAGAGGAAAATACCTTGAGCATCACAATAATGGAAGCTGTGGACATAATCAAAATGAGACCAATTCTGAAGACGAGTCTGATGATTTTGAGTTAATGCTGTCTCAGTTAAAGAGTAAACAGACGGCAGCGTTGATCCAGATCAACTCAGGAATTAACGGCAGTTGATCCGGATTAAGTCCGAGTTAGTCCGGATCAACGCTGCCGTCTGTTTAAGCTTTTAGACACGACTCGTAATTCCGATTTTGTTAGTGGACCGAAAAGTTCTGAAATTATCCGTCCTCTCTTAGTGGCCAAAGACGGCAAGAACGAAATATTGATGTTCTACAATATCAGAAATTTAGGCTTTGCAGAAACCGCAATTAGCTCAGTTAACTAAAATAGTTTTAGCTGTTCCTGCAATGCAGGTCAGTGTTGAAGGGTGTTTTCTGGCCTAAAATTCATTATGCCAGCTACGAGAACCAATTTAAGTAGTAATATAGTGGATTCGATTTCATTGATAAGAACTAATCAATTGTATGGGCTACAAATATTTAAATAAACTTCTTAGCTTTTACATTCATATGCAGGGAACGGATTTTTAGGACCTAAAAACCTATGAAAAAGGCAAGATAAAATAACGAAATAGGCTGTAAAAGGCAAAATAAAATAGTGGAAAAGGCAGGAAAAGGCACTAGGTGTTGCAAAAAAGGCAAAACAAAATAGCGAAAAAGGCGGGAAAACGCACTAGGTATTGCAAAAAAAAACAAAATAAGGCACTAAAAAAGACAGAAAATACAAAGAACAATCAAAAAATACATTTATTTTAGAAATATTTATATTACAAGTAAAAAGAGAAAAACTATGAACTAGTTTCATTATATGAAAAATTTTTACTTAGAATCTTTGACTATTTTATCCTTTCTAGTTTCTAACTCATAAAATTTTAATCTGTATAGTTGTAGTAACATTGAACCACAAGATGCATTTTGAAGTTTTCTGCAGCATTTTCATTCGATTTTCGCGAAGAAAAGACTTGAATGTACTAAATGTGTGCTCGACGTAAGTTGATACAAGCGGCGCCCAATTTAAATATGTAGCGTTTGAAACGTTCATATTATCAGGAATAAGGGCGTTTTCCTCGCCCTTTACAATTTTATCCACACCCCTTATTGTCTCCAAGCCTTCGTTAGCTGAGAAAACGGCTTTGAATTTTTCCAACACCGATTTGGCAAGAGGTCTCTGCGCTTCAATCAGCCGCATGGGCAATGTGTATATATTTTAATTTAAAAAAAAAATTGTAAATTTGTAAATATTTTAAAGATAGAAAAGGCAAAAAA